GTGTGAGCATTGCGGTAGCACTTGTGTCTCAGTGTCGGTCCTTTGCGCTGGTATTCAGGTCCCCACCACCCAGGGAATTGATCCCACTACATGACAGAGCGGGTAAACAGCTGCAACAAACAAGAAACAAGCAGTTGTTGGGGCAGCTCAGAAGGTGCTTTATTGAGGATTTCGGTTATACGGTCCTGATCGTGCCTCGGATCGTGCAGGAAGCCCTGCCAAAATATTTAGGGCTTACCAAACGCTTCTCTGCTCTCCCTCGTGAGTCGTGACTCACTCTACACAGAGCGAGCCAGGATTTACAGAGCTTCATGGCTCCGGGCACAGCTGCTCCTCTTCTGCCCTCTCGAAATCCTAGATTTGCCTCCCACACTCCACTGCCCTCTCCGGCTGGTGGAATTCCTGGGGCCACTGTCCGTTCTGATTCCTCCAGGACAAAACCTGCAGTCTCTGGTGCTAAAGACACTGAGGACCCTTGTTGTGCACAACCCGGAGAGCTGCGGAGCTCTGGGCTTTCTTTGTTGGGTATATTGTTTGTGAAAGATCTCACTGGCAAGGAAAGGTGATCTCTAAACAAGCTAAGACATACTGTTAAATACAGTACAAGATTTTAGAAGACACCCAACCAGAGACGTAAACAGAGAGCTCTTTCTAATACTGAACACATACAAATGCACTTGACACATTTCTCATTGTTGTGAAATTTTATTTTTCCCTTTCATATTACATTAGTTGAGGATGAAACCAATACATTATATACTGTTGTCCTATGGCCCTGGATTAACAAAAAAATAATTCACTTGCATGCATTAACATCTTGCATGCCTTTGAGGATGAGAGTGAAGAACACTTTTGACTGGACCCAATGCAATAAATCAACTGCTGACAAGCTGTGTGTATTACACAAAGAAAGGACTAACCTTGTACATTCTGTATGCAGACTTGGTATTGTGCACGACAAGCTAATAAACTTTACTACCACAGTGAATGGTTATCCCTCGTTCTTTATCAAAGACAATCTGAAAAAGAGGAATCCAGAAAGTTTTGGGTTCAGGGATTTTTTGCCTGTTTCTACAAATGCGCATCGACAATTATTTTAAGCTGGTTTCAGTGTTTGCTTGTATTGTAATGGAATTGAGGAGCTATGTGTTGCAGTGAGTGTTTGCGCATTGGTCTGAGTTGTTATTGTACATTCTTTATTATTGTCCTTCTGAAGTGAGATCTTGCAGGCCTTTGATCTTGTGCTTTGGTTGGGCTTAAGGTTTGAAAAGGCTGCCGTTTTGGAGGGAAGTGTTCCACGCGAATGTTTGTGTTATCTATTTCCAAATCTCTTGCATGGGTCTTTCCTGAGGATCAGTGAGCCAACTTCAGCTGAAACAGAGTTCACAGTAAAGTGCTCTGATCTTCATTTTTCACTGCCCTCCAAAACTACACTGAATAAAAATAGTTCAAAAGCTGACATAAAAACTTGCTCATTCTTTCTGACATTTTAGTTAACAAACTCTTTTATTATTGCTGAAGCCCTCCAGCATCAGTTATTTCGGCACCCAAAAAATATGCGATGTAAAAGGCTTAACTGTACGATTTATTCAGATTAAAGATTTTCCTTTCTTCTAGGATGTGCTGTGCCTAACGTAAAACACATTACAAAAATCATACACAATAATAATGAAGCATGAAAGCTAAACAGTACAGCAACTTAAACTGTGAAACAACTTAAACAGTGAAACCGTGCAGGAACAAATAAACTTTACAGAGATAAGAGTACAAAGAGCATCTTTCATACATAGAGGTTTAAAAAAAACAAACAAGCACAAAAAGATCTTGCCTTCAAAAAATATGAACTGCATTAATGCTGAAAAAGACTAAACAAAAAGACTCAAATTCACTGGAGCTTTTTAAGGTACAGGACAAGGTCTTTAAATGACTGCCCAGGCCAAACTGTACCAAGCAGCCACTGTTTCCCAGGCTGTTTCAGTGGTCAGTTTTCTAGGGATTGATAAATACTTTGTCTGATTTAAGGACTTCAGGCACACCTGAAGAAGGCTCCACGGCCGAAACGTCGTGTTCTCTTTCTTTTTTTCAGCATGGAATAAACCTATTACTTGTCTGATTTAAGTCATCTTTGTGAAGGATCCTGCGATATTTCACTAAAGGATCATCTTTACTCTCACATAACGAGAAATTTAATAACACTAAACATGGATTTAACATGATTGCTTAAGCTTAGACTGTCAGTGTTGAATTTAAATGTTTTTTGCATCTTGAACTGATTTTTTTAAGCACGTCCTAAAAACCCCAGCAGATTTCAGCTTGACTGACCCTCCTTAATTAAATTGTTTCAAGAGCTAGTTGCCACAAAACTGCACAAATCAATTCTGAGTGGTTGTACTTCCTCATCTTTGTACACTGCTAACTCGAGAATGATCTTGTGTCTCACAAAATAAACAGAATAACATTTCTTTTTACAATACGAAGTAAGAAAACGCACTTATTTTCTTAGCGGGCTTAATGTTTGTAACACACATCAGTACACTCGCGTAATTTTGGGGTGCTTTCGTTTCAGCCTGTGAAAAGAGTCCATACTGTAGAAGTCTCTTCCTCTCCCCAGCCAGCACTCAGCTCCTTAGAAGAGGTTAATACGCCTTCATAAAACGTGAAAAACGCTGCCAGAACAAATCGGAGTCACCCCGAGCCTCCATCCTGCTCTCCCACCCGGGCCCTGGGAGAGACAACAGCGGGAACACAGTGTCACGCAGAGGTCCTGATACACTGTCTCTGTGTCAGCACTTGATCTCTGAAGACCGCAGAGGTCCTGATACACTGTCTCTGTGTCAGCACTTGATCTCTGAAGACCGCAGAGGTCCTCCGGGTCTCCCAGATCTCGCTTGCATTATTTAAGCCGATTGTCTGCAGAATTGAACCGACCTACTCAGGGCACAGTTTCCACGCTCGGCTCTAACCCTAGAACCCACTGGATACGCGGTGAAAGGTAATGAGTTTTAGATAAAGGGTAGAAAACGGTCAGTGGTGCAAATACCGCGTAATTACAGCAAACTCTGCACACCACTATTTTAATACCGGATTTGCAGGAATATCATACTCTCGTACAGGGGTCTTCGACCGTCGCGTTAGCGTTAATAATCGGCGCTAGGTTACACGCTCATGCTACAAAATAAACGAGGCCTGTAAGATTTATTCAGACGTCGCAGTGGATGGCCCCAGGCATTTCAGAATAACAGGGAAAAATCTCACTGCCCCTGCTTAAGATCACCACGAGGTCTGCTGCCCACATCAAGAATATATCGACCGCACAGTGTCGCAGTGCTACCTGTGTGTACAGTAGCATTTGGCCGAGTCCTTCAGCAGATGGATAGGAGTTTAACACTGACACCCTGTGGCTGCCGAAGCGCAATGGGAGTAACTAGTGAAATACGGCGTCAGCCCTGCCTTCGGAACAAAACCAACTTGAGTTCTGCCTCGCAAAAATGGAATTGGCGTTAGCAGTAAAAACGTTTTAAAAAAAAAAACCTCAAATGTTAACTGTAAAACCCCGCTGACAGATGTAACAGCCCTTGTGACAGAGAATGCAGTTAGGAAGCATATACGATACAGTATAATGTGGCTTTCCAAAAGGTT